CTCTCTTCCAACGTCCCCACTAGTGCATGGCCGATCCCGGCATTGATCATGGGTTTGTATATGATAATCAAGGAAGGACAAACATTCTGTGATCTCCATTCTTCGATTTTAACTTGGAGGTTGACGAAACCGTCAAAGGATACATCGAACACATTATATTTACTTTAGCCTCTTCCATAGAAGAGGCGGATTACCAGACGTCTACACATAACCCCTTCTCCGACTAACTTTCGTTGGATCTCTACCCTTAGCTTCCTCTTCTTTGTGGTGGCATCTTCTGGATTGTGGCGACTCTTCTTCCACTAACCCTTAAAGAGTGTGAGTGAGGGAATCTCGAGGTGACTTTTCTCTTTGTTATGTGATGGATTTTTAGTTTCTTGCACTATCATTTTCATTATATAATTGATATTATTCTAAGATCTTGTTCTTCTATTGTGTGGTTACTTGCCATATCAATTTAAACAATTTTAAATTCGTAAAATCTTTTCAAAAGTGAAACATTAGTTGAAGTTACAACGCCTAATTAAATTGTTATAAATTTCTACGTGCAATTCCTATTTGGTTTCACATCAGTTAGGGCATCTTGAATTTGGCTGAAATTTGAGATCTCTTAGGCTTTTGCTCTCTAACGGCATCTAGAGATTTGGGAGAGATAGATCCTACTCTCTAATAGAGAATCAATTATATATTGTTATTTTCTTCCGTTAGTTTGTGTTCTTGCAATAAAATTTTTGTTTTTTTTCTGATATTCTGTTGGATTTGTGGAGATTTCTTGTTTTTGTCAAGATCGTTAGGTTTTATTTGAGATCTTCAAGTGTTTCCTCACAAATTAGTATTAGTGCAATTTCCTGGGCTGAAATAGAAATCTTCCTCACTGAATTTTGCTGCATCTGTATCCGATTTTATTGTTTGTGCTTATAGGAGGCAAAAATTCACGTCAAACTTGTTGCTTTTTGTTATTGGAGCTTAAATCCAGGTTCCCATGGCATGAAGAAAGGTAAAAGGAGAGATCAGACAATTGAAAACTGAAATTTCAGATATCCACATTAAGCTTTAAGATGTCAAAAGTCAAATTTCAGCCATCCACGAGAAGATGGATGGGAATTTTTCTAGCCTGGGAGAAATGTTGAAGAAAGTGCTTGAGGGCCAAACCAAAATATCGCTGACGGAGGTGAGGGAAGGCATCGAGGACAAGTGGGGAAAACCCTAACCCAATCAAACGAAGGGAAGATCAGGAGGTGGAGACAAAAAAAAATAAAAAATTTAAAAATAAAAAAACAAAAAAAATTAAAAAAAAAATTAGGAGGTGGAGTCTCAGAAGAGAGAATACCTTCCCTAAAGCTTATTCCTAGGGAAGAGCCGGGTAGAGGGTATGGAAAGAGGTGAGAGGAGGTAGGGCAAGAACAAATGGGGGGTTGAATTTGAGAGGAAAGGGGTGGATTTAGAAAGGGAAAGGGGAAATTATAACTGAAGGAGGGATGAATTTGAAAGGAGAGGTTTATTATGATCCAAAGGGTGCTAAATTTGAAAGAAAAAGGTGTGAAGTTGATGAAAGATTTGGGTATAAGCGTAGAAGGGATGACTGGGACACTTGGAGAATGAAAAATTATGGAGAGAACAAAGGGAACTAGTGGAAATTAAGAAAAAAGATGCAATAAAATCATATTCCAAAGTACAAAACCACAAAATTATAGTCTATCCAAACTCCCAAAGCCCAATCATGTCCCATCACTAAATGGTTCTTCCAGAGAATCTTCTTCTCCAATTGTATCTATGAATGTCATATCTTCATCATCTTCAATATGACTCACTTTTCTTTTCCCTGTTCAATAAGAATGAAAGCTTTGTCATGTTACTTGCACACTTGATATAAATATAATGTAATAGCATATAAGAAGTTGTGGAATACCTTTATTTGGATGTTGTGCTGCAGAGCTAGTGGATGTATGTGGTGTGGTACTAGTGGATGTGCCCACTTGATTTGCTTCGCCCCTCAAGACATCCACATTTAGATCCTCTAGTTGCAAGTCTGATAATGGAAAATTTGTCTCATCATCTATGAACTACTCATTATCAGATGCCACATCATCACACACCAACGGGTCCTCATCATCCGTCAAACCCTTATTCCTCAACCTCCTTTCTCTTAACCTCTTGTTATGCATAATATAAACAAGGAAGTTCATTATGAGTGTTGAAAGCCGATTTCTTCTCTTTATTTGCACTTGACTATATGTACTCCAGTTTCGCTCACACCCAGAAGAAGAAGTGAGGCCCAAAACTCTAACAGCAAAATTCTGTAACTCAGGGGTGGAATCACTAAATTGGATCCACCATTCAACTATTTTCAAGAAGAAAAATGATAATCATAACATAATAAAATGTTTTGCATTTACAAAAAAAAGTATACCTGGAGAATGTTTGGTAATAGTTGATTTTTCTGCTTGCAGACCAAAAAATCCCTCCTTATTCTGAAATAAAACAAGTTGTAAATCTGCAAGCTCCTTATCTGTCTGCTCTGGTATTAATCGTTCCATGCAATGATACAAGTCAAACTTTACCTCCGGGTTTGAGGATTTCCTCTCTGAATATTGAAATTGATGATTGAGATAATATGCCGCTGCGTGTAGATGACGGTATAACTGTACCTCCCACCGAGCATCAATGATATCCCAAATCTCTCTATAACTTGCCTCCTCTCCTCCCAAGTTATGTGCAATCAACTCCTTCGCCTCATCCATAGCATTATAAATACGAACATAGTGGTTGCAAACCTGCCGTCGACCCTCTCTGGTACTAGCCGCAGGCATCATCTATGCTAGTCCTCCATCCTCTCCTGGAGTAGTCATGTACTGGTCCATAGGATCACGCGCACCTCTATTATGTATAGTGGAGGAAGAGCCCTTTCCACTCTCGCTCCCAAAGTAAGCACCATATTCGACCCTTTCATCAAATTGCTCCTATTGTAAATGTTTGGTAGTCGTACTCTTTTCATATAAGCTGTAATTTCCTCCTTCACGTTATCCGGAACATTCACACAAGGTGCTACATTCTTGTGTGAGCAGGATAAGTGCTCCTTCATGCGAGTTACTCCTCTCTTCACCACCTTATCATAAAAATTGCATTTTAAATACACATACGTCTTCTCGCCGCTTCCTACGCCAACTTGCACACTATATTTCCAAGAAGGATCACACCGCAATGACATATTTGCTTTTTCCTTACATCTAACCATATTTCCTAATGCAAAAATCCAAAAACAAACAAAAAAATTAAAAAAAAATAAAAAACCCTAGATTTTCTTTCACTTGAAAAATCTAACCCTAAACTAAAAAAAAATACATAAAATCGATTGTGAACTTCTCCTAGAGGGCGGCTGAACACTTCAAGTTCGCCGGAGAGAGGCGGCACTGGCGACAGAGGCGGCGGGAAGGGAGGCCGAGCGTGCGGGAGGCGAGACCGAGAGCTTATGGGAGATTTTGTTTCGGGAAGCCTTAGAACCGAATGGGAGGAAGGAAAAAAAGACTTAATTTTAAGTAGGTGGGACCGAATTTGATGAGGCGTGCGCCTCACCTCTAATTGTGCAATTACGCCTTAGAGGCACGCCTCTGATCCCGTGAGGTGTAAGCCTCACATGAACCCAAAATTGCTTAGGCAATTAAGCATTCAGGGGCTGAATTGCGCAAAGGCGCGCCTCAAATTGCGCAATTTTAAACAGAGGGTTCAATGATAGAGTACCAAGAGAGGTTCGAATACCTAGCTAGTCGATTAGACTAGCTTTCTGAGACAGTACTAGAGAGCAACTTCATGAAGGAATTAACACCCGAGATTCGGGCAGCGATTAGAATGATGAGGTCTCGTGACTTGTGAGAGGTTATGGAGCTAGCTCAGTTGGTGGAGGATCAGAGGCATCTGGAGAGAGGAACGGGAGGCAGCAACGCAGTAGGCTCGTCGTATAGGATGACCACCACCTTATTGGCATCGAAGGAGCCAACACTAGATACTCTTCGGGGGACTTCAAAGGAAAAGACTGCAGGAGGAATACCTGAAGACAATTTCAAGAAGCTCACAGAAACAAAATTACAGAAGAAGAGGGCAAAAGGGCTCTATTTCAGATGTAACGAGAGGTATACTTTAGGGCACAAGTGTAAGGATCGAACTCTTCATGTTCTTACCGTTTGTGATGATGAGGGAATGGAGGAGGATGTCGTCTTTCCACCTTGTGGATAAGGTGGGTCTTTGGGAGGGGAGTATTGTTAGACTGATCCACTGGACCGGTCTAGCTGGTCCATACAAGACCGGCCCATGCTAATAGAGGAGGAACCCTCTGCCTCCTGTACGCCTGATCCAATCGCCCGGCATGAGAGAGCTGTTTAGGAAGGATTTTTGAGGGAATTATGAGGGAAATTTCAAAGTAGGGGTTGTTTAGAGATTTACTTTTGAATTTTATGAATTAAGTAGTATGTTTTGCTAGGGTTAGGGCATCTTGAATTTGGCTGAAATTTGATATCTCTTAGGTTTTGGGCTTTAGCTTCCTCCAGAGATTTGGGAGAGATAGATCCTCCTCTTGAATAGAGGATCAATTGTATCTTGCTATTTTCTCCCGTTAGTTTGTATTCTTGCAATAAAATTCTTGTTTTTCTCTGATTTTCCGTTGGATTGTGGAGATTTATCGCTATTTTTTTCAAAATCGTTAGGTTTTACTTGAGATCTTCAAGTGTTTCCTAACATCTTACTAGTACAAGCTTATATGTACTTATATATAAACAAGAGATAAGTACAATCACATGAATATTAATAAAAGATAATATCTTAAATAATGAAAAAACTATTACAGAAATAAATAGAATATATTTCTACCATAAAGGGCACATGTGATAATTTAGATATGGTAACTAACAGGGAAATAAAAAACTCAATGCATACTCTTAAATTCAGTATTATTTACTGCCATCATGAATACTCAACAAGAAATCCAAGTGATTTAGTGGGCCACTTACGGCTGAGAAAGATGCGTTGGAAAATGTTGATAGTGATCAGCATCATCAGAAACAAAGCTACACTGATGTTGCCGTTGTTGATTAAGCTGAAGGTGCAGTTCAGCAACCTTCTTTTTTAATCGAGCAACATCTGCTTCAGCAAGTGCAATCTCCTCAAGTTCTGCCCTTGTCTTCCAATAGAGATATAACAATAATTTCATATAGCCTAAAATAACAAGCAAATTCAGTCAAGTAGCATATAGAAAGTAAGTAGCATACCTTGGAATCCATGCTTCTAGAACTAGAAAACTGCCCAGAAGACATGCTTAACCCAACCTCCAGGGCAGCCCTAAGATCCCTCTCAGCTTGCAGCTGCTCTTGCAACCTTGACACCTGAAAGAGAATTGGAAAATGATAAGAATCACAATATTGTCCAAAAAGAGTTATTCAGTTTCCAAATTAGCGAAAGTATTTAAAAAAGAAATGAAATCGACAATACTTGCAAGCAAATCTATCTTGTCAAAATAACTTCCAAGATATGCCGTCCTAACATAATAGCTCACTTCGAAAACTTCAAATTCAGGTTCTAATTTGGATTCTATGCGGCCAAAACTGCAGTAACCATATCTACTAAGTGCATCATCAAGATTCAACATAACAAAGCAGCAAATGGGAATCTTTTAGGGATTCAAAATCAGATATTAAACCGAGTTCACATAAGCAGCATAGATGATAATGAAAATCACTATGATGATCAAATTGAATTAAACATAGTGTTCTTCTTACACATGCATCCACTAAGTACGTAACATCACATACAAACTGCCACAAGAGCTTGAGCATGCAGCCAACATGTACTGCACGGGGTGGATTAAATAAGATTTTAGGTGCTATTCAAGGCTTATGTCAGCACACTGTAAATTCTCAAGCCCCTGTTTGAATTTGAGGTTCAAGATAATAAATGCAGTGGACAAAGGATCAGAGTAGGAAAAATTTTATAAAGATATTATTAGTAGGGTCTTCTAACCTGGTATCCACTGCCTTCTACTGCTTGTCTTCTTCAACATTGAATTCATGCTTCTCACATCTAAGAACACGAATCAGAAGCATCGTTTAAAATTGCGCAATAAGAGGTGCACCTCAAAGCAATTTTAAACGTTTAAGCCTCAAAGCCTACGCAATGAGAGCAGGCATTGAGGCATACGCCTCAAGTTCACTAAGGCGCACTTCGCCTCATGTTTTAGAGGCGTCCGCCTCTTAAAATTAAAAAAAAAATGCTCGGTATCACTCGGTACATGCTTGGTACCGCTAGTACATGCTCGGTACATGCTCGATACCACTAGGTACATGCTCGGAACCGCTCGGTGGAACCCCGCCAGGGGGCAGCGCCCCCTTGGACCCCCGGCTGCCTGGCCTAGTGTTGTATTCATCATCTTTAGTAATAATTGTTAGTATTAGTCTGCTTCTTTATGAGTGCACGATGCTTTGTATAAGTTTTCTTCATGAGTGCATGCTTTGATTAGAAGACATTGGACTCTATAGGTGAGAAGGGGAGAGAACAGTTCATTATAATGATGATTCAAATGAAGAATTTCATATTATCTTATTATTGGGATATTTTGATTTCACGTCATATCATGTGATTTTTTGTGTTTTATATTTTTTACTCATTAGTATTTAAAAAATTTATCATTTTATGTTTACGCAATCTTTTGTTGCCTCGTCTCATGAACAAAAAATACCTCAATACCCGATTACGCAATTTTAAACATTGATCACAAGTACCTTTATCAACCCTTCCTAAAAGATAGTATTGGGTTGCAAACATATAATAACTTAATGCTACCCAATGAAAGATGTTCATTAAGTGTTATCTCATCATATGACTTCTAAAATGTTAATTTTAAAAGAAGGAATCAGGAATATTTTTTTCTTCCTTGGAAGTAGACATTCTTTAAAATCAAATTAATAGAAATGCCAAATTGTTAATCAATTGATCTATATATGACATCAAAAATTATCAAGGCATTTTAATATAGAGGTAAAGAGATAAACATTTAAGAAGTTATGTTTTTTATTGAAATATGAAATATAAAAAAAAACAAATAAATAATCAAAATTGGAAGAGAGAGAATGCATCTAGTTATTTGCAAGGGTCAACTTAATCCTCTTTCATAGTGATCTAGGATGATGATATCTAAGGTAAAGGACTCCAAGTATCATCCATCCATAAATTAGATTATTTAAGAATCATTTAGAGAGAGAATAAATTTCATTAAGAGTTTATGAGCAAAGGATGGGCACCCTTTTAAGTGTTGTTGGTGTATTAGGTGAATTCCTAGTATTGGAAAGTAATTAATTAGGGATATTATTCTCCTTCAATTGTTTTTTTATTAATATTCTCTTTTTATGTCCATATATATAGACCATACATTTAATAGATTAAAACAATAAAAAGATTTTCCCCTTTAAAAACGGTATTAGAGCAAGGTCAACATTGCCCTAGTTAACCCACCCATCCACCCCCACTACGTAGCTCTCCTGTTGATCTCTATATGCCTAGCCCACCAAACACATCTACTCGCCGCTCACGCATGTGATATATGCAATAGCCTCTTCCCTTTGAACTCACAGCATGCCTTTACAACTATATGCTTGTTGCTTCACACTCAAAACCGTGCACTCAATGCTCCACATCCACTTTGCTATTCCAAGCCAAACAATTGCTACTCTACACTTAGCTTTGTGCTCTTGTTGCTCCACATATGTGTGTGCATTGTTTCGCTGGATATACATTCTGCCTCATGCAAGCATATGCTTGCAACTCTTGGGTTCACATGCCATCCATTGTTAACTCATTACACGCTATCTTATGACTATTTGATCTCCCTTAGTGCATGATACCTCTGTAACTCCAACAATGCTATCCTCTAACCCTTCCACTTTTACCCTCTTTCACAAAGGTGTCATGGCGTCTCACACCTATCTTCACAACTTGAGCTCCTATTATACCAACAAAAAATTAAAAGGTGCAAATTACCTGTTGTGGCTGAGGGATTTTTATTTTATTTTAGTTTTTACGACAAATTTTATCATTTTAATGCCTTCCTCTAAATAGGAACGACATCATCAAATTCTTGAAGTGGCAAGCATCTATGATGTTCTTACATGGTTACTTAGCAATCTTTAATAATCATGTTTCCAAAAAATACCAAAAATCTGTAGAATTTTCTTTGATCTGCATATTTCAGAAAAGTAATATATTGTATCTCTACACTTTATATCAGACCTATTTTCTTTTTCAACAAACTAACATGTCAATCTAAGAGTTTTATAATACCCTCGGAGAAAAATGGGATAAGGTCTTTAATATCTCCCATCACTACAAATCCCACTATTTGGACCAGCGGGATGAAGAATTCCTAGTAGCCAAATTTATCTCTAGCATGCAAGTTTTCCTTTAAGGGGTAAAATCTTCATTGATAACCAACTGTACAGCTCCAAACATTGTCAATGCTCTCTCCTAATTTCTCCATGTCATAGAATACCAACTACATCCACTTTTAACCAATCTTTCGACTCCAAGGGTGGTTAGGGAACTCATTGTCATGATTTTTGTTATAATGATAGCAAGATAATGGACAAGACCTTTCTCCCTAATGTCCTCAATAGGGTCGCACATACCATCCTCAACATCACTGAGAGAAATTTGATTGCCCTTCCATTGCTCAACATACATTTACAACTGATCTAACATTGCCTACTTCTAAGGCCTCATCCAATAGATAGGTTACTCTCCCTCAAAAATATCATGCTCGAATAATTCAATTATCCCAACCATCGCCCTTAAATCTCAAATTATTTATATTATGTATTTGTTGCAGTTGTCTCTAATAATATGTCCTGGATTTAGATTCAAGTGCCTCTTCATATATGAAGATTAAATACAAACTCTCCTCTTCCGTCAACATTACCTCTCTTTCTCCAGTGATTATCTTTGACGGTTTTCTTATATATCTCTTAAAAAGGCATTATAAATCCTTCAATAACTTTTAATGGCTTAAATGTTACGTAATTTACTATAAATTTATTTTCTATCAACTCTTACAAAATCTCATGACTATCATATAGCATCTAACCTTCTTTTCTGTCAATATCTCAACTCGAAGAAAATAATTAGTGGAGTCATTGAAGTTGGTGGAACTTACTATATGACGACAAATGTTCCTTATGCTCTCTCCTCCAATGTTGCTACTTTTCACTGGCATTATCAACCTAGACATCTTCTTCTCAGTTCCCAAGTATTGTGTTCGTTCCTTCATAAATGCCCAAATTTAACAATCATAACTGTATGCCCATTACATCTTCTCCCAATAGTCATAATCCTAGTCCTTTTGAGTTAGTTTACTCCAATAGGTTACGCCCTATTCTTGCTTATATAGGCTTCTACTATTTTGTCACATTCACGGACGATTTTTCCCCGAGTTGCTAGCATGTACTTACACAAATACCGTTCACGAGTCATTCATGTTTGTATTAGAAAAAAAAAACTTCAATTTTCCACTCTTATCAACATCTTACACACTAATCAGTCATTAGAATTCATGCAGACTACGTTTTGCACCTTCTACTCTATGCCACTACCAATGATTTCATTCATCAAAATTCCTCTCATATACAACTTAACAAAATAGTGTTGTTGGACACAAAAATCACCACCATCTTGAAGTTGCAAGCTTCTTCATGTTTCACATGAATGTCCCTAGTGAGATGATGTCTTGACCCTATGAAAACTCATCAATTGTATCCCTTATCATCTAAACTACAACTCAACTCTTTAGACAGGCCAAGTTGTTTTTCCCCTTACACCATATTTTTTTGGTTGTACTTGCTTAGTTCATGTGTTTCGTGCGCATGAAAAAAACTCTCTATGGTATTCAATGCATCTTACATAGAAACTCTTGCACTAAAAAAGGTATTGATATTATGATGTCCTTTTACAATGATTTATACTTCCACCGATGTAACATTTCATGAGACTAACTTTTCTCCTTGCCCTAAGCTATCTTCACCAACAATTCATCTTCCTCCAAAAGCTTCTATACCTATCTCTTCACCTCTACAGATATACTCTCACCGACCTCTAGCTTCATCTATAATAGCAACCCCAAACACATTATAAGATTCAACCGAGCATGCACAAGATGATGATCGCACTAATATTCATTTACTAATTACCATTTAGAAAGGTAAAAGTAAACATCTTGTTCATCATATTTACTCCTATATATCATTTGATTATTTATCACATTTATTTTTTACCATTATATTGTCTCTATCATTTGTATCTATTCATTACAATAAATTTTATGAAAAAAAATTATGATTTTGAAATGCATGCTCTTCTTAGTCTTAATACATGGCGGTCCCCACTCCTTAGGTGGAAACCAATTACTTGGCGTTGAGCATATATTATCAAGTATCATTGTGATGGCTCAATTAAGGGGTGTAAACAAGCCGAGATTAAATGAGTTTATTGTGTGTTTGCTTTCAATTTGTTTGAATTTGACCTTAATATGAGCCAATTTCAAATAAATTAAAAAATATATAAATAATGAGATAAATATGATAGAATCATGATCGAACACTACAAAGCTTGCTTATTTGCCTACCAACCAATTAATATATCTAAATATATATATATATTTATATAATAAAATATAATATATATGCACATTTATTTTGAGCAAAAAATTAACCAAACATGATCAAACAAGACTTGATTGAAGTACATCTCATTAAGAAAACATGCTCAGAATAATTGTTCAATATCAACTCACTTAATAAATGAGCTGAACACAAGCTTTTAGCGAGCTGAACACAAGCTATCATGACAAGGAGCTTTTTTGATAGTGCTAGGCTCAATCAAACACTAAAAAGCATACTTATTTGCCACAGACCCACAGGGTTAACCGAAGTCTATAAGATAAACTATTTTGATAACTTCTCCTCAATTGTTCTATCTAACTCTATCAAAGTTCTTTTATTTGTAGCCATCAACCAAGGTTGGATTATGCTAAAAAATGAAAGTGAGAAATACATTCCTTTATACCGTCTTGCATGAGGTCATTTATAAGGAATAACTTCCAAGGTATATTGCTCAGTAGAAGAATCACATATACTTTCCAAGGAATGCTATGTATGGACTTAAATAGAGACCAAGAGCTTGGTTTTAAAAACTGTGGAAAGTTTTAAGTAAAAGAGATCTTCAAAGTAGAACTAGAGATCACTTCATCTTTGTCAAGCATCTTCTTTTTAGCTTTGTCATATTAAATAGCATCTCACTAGAAGCGATTACAACATCTGAGATAAAATATTACTTTCAAAAGTCTTTTATCACAAATGAGTACTTTCCTAAAATTGATTTTACCCTATAATAAGAAAGAGTTATCTCAAAGTATAATATTTTTTTGAAGAAATGGGTCATCGTTATTGTAAGCTTATTGATATAACTATGATGACAAACAACATTTGATGACAAAAAAAAAAAAAAACTTAATGATCCATCAGTCGAACATAAAGAAAGTCGGATAAAGGAGGGCTCCTTCTCGTCTACAGGAATGTTGGGAGGGAGGCTTTTCTTAGTATTGAAGGGTAGTTGGTAAGTTAATTTATCTAGTAGTTACCAAGCCTAATATTTCATGCATCATTATAGTACGTTAGCACATGCAAAATGCAAATTAGATGCATTAAGAGGTTTTTTTATAAATCCTCATTTTTATCAAAAAATTTTCTATAAACGTTTTACTAAAGCCTCTAGTTGAGCACCTAAATTTTCAAGCAATTGTAGATGTACTTGCTCGATTGAAGACATGAAGTCAACCATAGGATAATATACCTTTGTTAGGACTAATATAGGCATCAAAAAAAGAAATACTTTTTGACTTTTCCCAACTCTTCTTAATCTATGTCACTATAAATTGTATTTAATGAATGGTACTCTTAGTAGTTCTCTATTATAATCATTTCTTGTTATCATTTTGTTCTATCATTTCGGTTTTTTTAATTAAACTTCCATAATATTATTTTGGGGATTTACATACATACCAATTTATATTATGCTATTTACATATCTAACATCAAAAATTTTAATATTTTATGACTAACATCCATAGACAACTTTAATATCAAATATGTCACTCATATATTTCATTCCTACCACCCATACCATCCTATAAACTTTAATATTTCATTTCTTGCACCCATATTTGATCTATAGGTGTTAGGCATGAAATATTAAAATTGTGGATGTTAGATATGTAAATAGCATGATATAAAATAGTATGTATGTAAATCCCCCTATTATTTTATAACATAGTAGACTTGAGAAACACTTCTTCATTAAAAGTATCAAGCTTTAAATTAAACTATCCTCATTTATATTCTTTGTTTATTTGTGGGTGTTTACGTGTGTATGAAGAGAAAGAAACACACAAATGTTTAGAAGTATAACACGTATATATCACGTGATCTTCCAACAATATTAATAGAAATTAAAAAGATTCCACATCAACTAAAATTATACACATAAAACTAGTTTTTTTATACGTAGTAATCATAAATCCCATAGCATATTAACTTTTTCTTGATTTATAACTTTTTACTAAAAAATTGAATCAATCAATATTTTATGCACATTTACCACTTGATTTTCAAGTATATTGATGAAAATTTATCCGACATCCACTAAATTATATATCATAAAACTAGTTTCTAATGAACATATCCAAAATCCCTTATCATCTACAAATGTTCTTCATTGTTATAACATTTTACTTCAGAAAACAGGTATCATCCATCAATAGTGTGTCATTAAACATCATAATACTCATCATGAAAAGGTAAAAAAATCAATATTCAATAACAAGCAAAAGGAACACTCAAAGAAATCTTAATATCATCAAAGACAACATTAAAGGCACAATTATTGAAAAGCAAATTCACTTTGAAAAAAAAGATAGAAACTAGGATGTAAAATATAATATATATCATATTAACACAACACAGCAGAAAAAAAAAATAACTTCAGTAACCGAGCATGAGAATAATACATCTTGTTCCAGTGCTAAGCGACGATCATGCAATGCCTGCTTTCTTCTTTCCAAGCTAGCCTGCAAAATGGCATTGCCTTTGGCCTGAAAGGTAGATTCAAACTGTCCCCATAAGAATTCATCATGCTCTCCCATTACATGAATAAAAGGCCAAAAAATGTTTCATACCTCTTTGGCAATTCTCATGCGAAGGTCATTCTTTGTTATTTCAAGCCTCTGAATAGCAAGCCTAACATCATTGCAAGTTTGTTTAGTCAAGAGCAGTTGAATTGAAAGTATAGTTGCATATTGGAAGAATCAAGGCATCTATCCAGCATGATTTTGTATTCTATGAATGATTTAAAGGGCAATGGTATTTGGACTCTAAATTAATATATTCCTAACAAGTCAACTGAAAAGAGTCAAATTTCACCTTCTGACATGTTCAAGATTTCATGTAAGCTCATATTATTAGTGACCTTTTTTTTTTAATAAAAACAACTGCAGCACTTCAATGAATGAAGATCAAGTGATCCAAATATCTGACTTATAGATGAAGAAAATTCTTTTAGAGGAAATACAAATAGCAAGCTGTGATGTATGAACTTGATAGCTGAGTGAAAGGCCTATGATAGAATAGTCTAGATCGATGACTTTGAAGGTCAAACCAATAGTATTTTAGATGGTCATGTCCAAGATCATAAAGTTCTTCCATGATTTGAGTTTGATAACTTAAACTTCTCTTTTCCTCACTTTTCCCATTCTATATGTGAAAAGGCTGAAAATTCATAATGAAACACTTACTCTTCTTCACCAGATGAGTCGACAGAATCCATTGAATGATTCTTTCTGGCCTAAAAAATGACAACACAAGTTATAATCAGGAAACCATATATAAAATCAAACACAGTAAAAAAATGATAAAACCGAAACCATTTTAGAATAGCAAAAATCATTTGCAATTCTGTTACCATGCATGCTTGTATCAGTGCATAAGAGGAATAAATATGATGAGTGATAAATATTATTTGAGCACTTAGGTTTAGCCGTATCTCTATTCAGAAAAGATAATGCTGCAAAAGATGAAACGGATCCCAAACTGATGATCTCAACTCCAACAAAAGAGGCTCGATTTAAGGAGCTAAGCTCATCAAATCATATATAAATCGGCAATCACAAGAAATCAAATAAAAGGTTAAGAGCTCTTGAGCTTGAAAGGAAAGAATAACTCTGAAAAGTTGAACGGTAAAAAATTAGAAGGGTGCTGCTATTTCTCTATACTAATAAGCTCACATTGTTACGACCCCAAAAATTGGGGGTCCTCTTTGTATGACCATGAGACCCATTGAGCTTAGTCACATGTCTATCCACACAATATTCAGCTGTATGAGAGGGAAAAGGAATCCCAGAATCTAATGATGACAAAATCTCCCCCATTGAAAGAGGAGTTTCACGTAAAGGCAACACATTTAGGGAATCCTTCTTGGAGAAAGAGTCATCAAAATTTTCGTTTGGTGGACCATGTCCACCATTATCTTGAGAAACCCCAAGCGGTCTGGTCTTTGTTGATGAATCCTTATTATCTGTAAGAGATTCAGCATCTGAATCATCACTGGCAAAAACCTGAAATCGCAGAGAGATTTTGAATTTAGTAAAGTTGATCATATTCAGCAAATAAGGAGAATAAACAGCATGGAAATTTTGAAACAAAATTTTAGCAACGTATTTAAATATCATAAAATCGAAATAATGAAATTAAAGAAAAGAGTATGTGGTTGAATGTTTCCGGGCCATTTGGGATCATCTTTTAGGTTCATTTTTTTTTTGTCCAATTGGGATCATCTTTTAGATTCATTTTTTGTTTTTATTTTTTATTTTATTTTCTTTATGTTTTGACAAGAAGTAAAAAACAAATTTAGTATCTTAAATAATAAATAATAATTATCAATTTCACACATTAAAATAACATATCATATAAAATATTATCTTATTGGCATAGGAAAAACCCTGTTTAGAAAGTAATTTATATTTGGCTAATGCCAAAGATGTTCATCTCTTGGGTGTCTACTCCTTAGTATGAAATCTTCCCTTTACAAGAGGGGCAAAATTTATTAGCAGTACTACAACAAATTGAGAGAGAAATGAGATGAACTTCTTTAATAGCACGCCTAGTCCAACCAATCAAACTACATGGAAAAAAAAAAAAAAAAAACAGAGCAAAGAATATCTAGTTGCCATGTTCTCCCATACCTTCATACATCCTTCTAATATGTCCAAACTTAACAAATAATGAACTCTATTATCCCGAACATCTCTACCATTCTTTCCTGAGTTCTCCGTGTACTAAGTTACCTTGTCCACATGGTAACCATCATCATAATGCCCTTGTTGCCAAAATAAGGGGTGCTCTTAGTTCTCATGGACAGGAATTGTTGCCATAGTTATAACTCTTATCAAACTTACCAACACAGTCAAAGGATAAATCACTCATCTAGCCATTATCAGGATGTGGGCTCCAAAAATTCACGCCCCAGCCTCTTCGCGGCCCTTTCTTTTTGTATTGGAGAGCAGAGTTTTAACGAGTCTAAGTTTCAGGGTAAATTTTCAGAAGACAGATTGAGGTTTTAGATAACAAACTACCTAGAGATTTTGCCCTCATTTTGTGAGAACTTTATGATCTCAGTTCTAGTTTTCAATAGGCACAAGCCCCTATAGTTAATTACCCCTCCCGATAATAGGAGAGAACTTTCGATTAAAGCTCGTCGTTGAACAGATATATAGTATCAAGCGTATAGTAGCAACAGAATTAGATGTTACAATAACAACAACACGAAGCCTTTATCCCACTATGTGGGGTCCGCTACTTGAATCCTTTTTTTTCATTGTGCTCTGTTTAAAATTGCACAATAAAGAGGCGCGCCTCTGCGCAATTCTTGCAAAAAATGCCTCGAGGCGTGCGCAATTGCTGGCATTGTTGAGGCGTACGCCTCACATTGGCTGAGGCGCGCCTCTGTTGACCCGATCAAGATCCCATGGTTATGTCATCTGGGGCCAATGTAGTCCCTGGTCTACTTAGGTAGAGGAAGTAGTCTACCCAACCTAATAAAGGATCCTTATCGGCAGCCATGGGTTGCTTTGTCCAAGCGGACCTTATTGACCTAAGGTGAATGCTTATCTAAGGGGACAAATTTGAAACAACCTTAGATAGCAGAGGTCTTTGTGCCTTATTGATCATATCGTATTGATTCAAAACTCAAGGATTTCATGTCACTAAGAAGCGTATTAGCTCTGGCCATAACCGATATTTTGTGGTTCCATTTGGCAGTAAAACCACTCAGTTCTAGGTCATAACCATTTATCCTATGGTGTCATTTGGTGGAAAATTCACCGATTAGAGGACACGTACCACATCCTTAATGGCATGTATTAACCCCTAAAATCCCCCAAAGAGCATAAATTTGATAAATTTGACTTAATGTGTATGTATATTACATTGGATCTCATCTAGCGTACTGGATTTCAAGGAAAGAACATAGAGCATATCAGAGGGAGTTATTTTGATGTTCTAATCAAAAAATCTTTCTTTTACAAGTCTACATTGAAAAAAGAGGGGGTCTTTCAGACTACAAGATATATGATTTGCTACACAAATCAAGCTTGACAAAGCTGAATCGCAAGAGCCCACTAGGTCGAAACTACAGTTGTCTCTCAACCTGAAATTCCTCCTATAAATACTTTTTTTTCTTTTTGGATGTGATTTGGCAACTTTCGGACTCCCAAAGTATACACAGTTACTGCCTTTATGATTATCTGGCTACTTTTATTATGGTTGTTTTATTTAATTTCATATTACTAATTTTACTTGAAATGAGAAAATTGATAAACGTGGAAGTAAAATGAAGTACGAGAGGTAAATGGAAAGTTTTGTGTGAGTAGAAAAATATATTTGAGAAGAATTTTTTTTGTCTGTTAAAAAATTTTGTTTTCATCGGTGAATGAGGAATCTTTTATATTATAGAAAATTGTGTACATGCATTTTGGCTAATAGGCATTTGGAGAGGTGATAAATGGAAACAAAAATAGATTGAGGTTTTTATTTGGACAGAGTCTATTATTTGTGTGAGTAGAAAAATATATTTGAGAAGAATTTTTTATGTCTGGGTTAAAAAATTTTGTTTTCATCAGTGAATGAGGAATCTTTTATATTAAGGAAAATTGTGTATATGCATTTTGGCTAATAGGCAATTAGAGAGGTGATAAACGGAAACAAAAATAGATTGAGGTTTT